TGGCTTAATTGCTAAACTGCTATGAGAGTTAGTACTTTCTAGTGATAATTTGTATATCCTCCTTTCTTAACCTGGGGTTTATTAAACAGTGCCGTTATTGATTCTGATGATACAGATTTTCTGGTCTGATTCGGGGGAGCTTGTCTGCATTGCTACAGAAGAATCATTCTTCATTCTGAAATATCTATCAGAAAAAGTTGCAGCAGCCCAAGAAACACATGAAGGGGTCACTGAGGATGGAATTGAAGATGCTTTTGAGGTAAATGTTTTTTAAAAATAGCAAGTGACAAGGATAGGAGGTAATTGAAACAAGTCTTTCCGAAGTGTATTAAAGTATTCCCTTCTACTAAACTTTAGTTTCCAAAACACTAAGTATGATGTAATATACTCACCATTTACTATTTGGTCTACTGAAGATCATCTCTTGAAAAAGTACTTTTATTTGAAATCCAGCCTGAGAGATCTTCATGCCTAGATTACTCTTCAGTTTTCTGTTAACTCTTCTCATAGTTACAGTGGTTGTTTTGGGTTTTTGGGGGTTTTTTGTTTGTTTGTTTTTAATACTTGGATAGTATGTTTACGTAACTTAAACTTTTCTTGCAGTTTTCAAGTTTGAAATGTGATTGGATGAGCCCACTTACCTGTTGAAGTGTAGCAGATTAAATGTAATTTGAAACTGTTTTAGTCTTACTATAGCAGAAAATATAACTTTTATATGTCTTACTTAAACTTAATTTTGCAGGTTCTTGGTGAAATTCAAGAGATCGTGAAAACGGGTTTGTGGGTAGGCGACTGCTTCATTTACACCAGTTCTGTGAACAGACTCAATTACTATGTTGGAGGAGAAATTGTCACTATTGCTCATTTAGACAGGTAAGTCGTTGCATTTGTTGTAAACAAGTGTTTAATTTTTTTTTTCTTCCAAATAAGTCAACATAAAGGGAACTTTGTTGCTTCTTTGCCCTGCATTACTTATTTCTCAACACATTATGCTAATGTATGTTCTGAGGCAATTAATATCATCTTGGGATTACAGGGAATACACGCTTGTGTGAAAGTATTCACCTGAAAAACTGCAGTTTTACATATTGTTTCTCTTATGAGAACTATTGGATTATATTTTTAAGGACTACTTGGTAGCAGATTTATCCAAGATTGATGTGCTTTGTTTTGTTTCAGGACAATGTATCTCTTGGGTTATATCCCTAAGGACAACAGACTGTATTTGGGTGATAAAGAGCTAAACATCGTTAGCTACTCCTTGCTGGTCTCGGTGCTTGAATATCAAACCGCCGTGATGAGAAGAGACTTCGGTATGGCCGACAAAGTTCTGCCGACTATTCCAAAAGAACAGAGAACCAGAGTTGCACATTTTCTTGAAAAACAGGCAAGAGAACGATTTCTTAGTCATCAGAAACATATTATGTTTCTAGTAATGTACATTTATTTGAGAATACTGTAATATTTGCTTTAGAGGGTTTTTGTTAGAACATCAAGGATGTTGTTTGATGTGACAGACCACAGTTTTACTTTCTGATTTTTCTTTCAGGGCTTCAAACAACAAGCCCTTGCAGTATCCACGGATCCCGAGCATCGTTTTGAACTTGCTCTTCAACTTGGAGAATTAAAAATTGCCTATCAGCTTGCAGTGGAAGCAGAGGTAAACATAATTTTTAAGTGATTGACATGAATTCTGTGCATTAGAATGAATCTCTGAGGCCCTGTGTTTGTGCCAAGAGAGGGCAGTGGAATGCGGAGATGCAGAATAGGTTTCTGAGCACTATACATACACACCCCAACTTAGTATGTGAGTTCTGCCTCTGTTTTTCAAAGGAATCTAAGCCCGGTAGTGGGAATAGGGGACCGTTTGCTCAGAAAGCAACAGGAACTCCTGGAAAAGATAAAACTGAACCCACAACCAAGCCACAATCTGCAGTTTTGATCTACTCTATTGAGAGTAGAAATAGCAATGGTAGGATTGGGGTCTCTGGGCCCTTGACAAACTTTTAAGCTCTTTCTAGGAAGACTGACAGGAGGTGATTTGGCCCATAGCCATTATTCAGAGGAGTGATCTTACTGCTCCTGTGGTAAAATCGTGAGGTTAATGGTAAAATGACAACTTGAAGGCAAAATGCTTTTATGTTCTAGAGGTTACTTTTGGAACTTTCTATAAGAAATAATACTGTCTTATTACCTAAACTCATTTCTACCTTTTCCATTGATGTCTAATGGAAAACTCTTCTGTTTTATATAATGGTATAGCTGTGCAATAATCTGTGTTCAAAACTAGTGTGTTTTGAAGCTGTAAGAGTTGTAGTGTCTCAAAAGGAGGGCAAATATGATGATGAGATATGGTATCTTAAGTCAACTTTCATTCCTTATTGAAAGATCTAAAAATCTTTTAAGTGCCATTCAAATTTGTGTTTTTATTTTTTCCCCTTTTCTTCTTTCCCCCCACCCTTTTGTATTATTAGTCAGAACAGAAATGGAAGCAGCTTGCTGAGCTTGCCATTAGTAAATGCCAGTTTGGCCTAGCCCAGGAATGTCTTCACCATGCCCAAGACTATGGAGGTCTATTGCTCTTGGCTACAGCGTCAGGAAATGCTAACATGGTGAACAAGTTAGCTGAAGGAGCAGAGAAAGATGGCAAGAACAATGTAGCTTTTATGAGCTACTTCCTGCAGGGGAAGTAAGTATCAAGCAGGAGATTCTGATTGTCCTCCTGTTTTCTGACATGCAGAAGACTCCATTTTTTTTCGAAGTAACTACAACAAATGTAAATTTAAAATTTCAGGGAGAAAGACAGTGGTACACATTTTTTTCAGAAAGGATGGTATTATTTTATAGTGGCTACTTCTTTTTAAACCTAATAATAATAATACCATAGAATAAAGAGCTAATCTTTTGCAAAGTCTATCTTTGTAAAACATACTGATTAACATCATATTTTACCATCTTTTAGGCTTGATTCATGTTTGGAACTGCTCATTAAAACTGGGCGTCTGCCAGAAGCTGCTTTTCTTGCACGGACATATTTGCCAAGCCAGGTTTCAAGGTAACTTTTCAGAACATGTGCAAAGAAAGAATGTTATTACCAAATTAGCTGCGTACAGCAGATGATTGTTTGCATCTCTAGGGTTGTTAAACTGTGGCGGGAGAATCTTTCTAAAGTCAATCAAAAAGCTGCCGAATCCCTTGCTGATCCTACAGAGTATGAGAATCTCTTCCCTGGGTTGAAGGAAGCATTTGTTGTTGAAGACTATGTCAAACAAAGCCTTGCTGACTTGCGGCCAGCTAGGGAATATCCCCTTGTCACTGTAAGTAAACACTGGGCAGGTTGTGCCTTTTACTTTTTTGTTTTACTTTACCCCTCTGAAATAAAAATCTGTTCTATATGTAAATTTAAATGAGTCAGGGAAATAACTTATGTTCCGTTAACATATGTTTTTGTTCTTAGCCAAATGAAGAAAGAAATTTACTTGAAGAAGCAAAAGGTTTTGAGCCTCCTAAAGTTATGGCATCTCAGGTCAGTGTTGCTATAATGAAGGAAGTTTAAGAAAGAAGCGATTTCACTATTGTACAGAAACACCTACTCTGGGTGATACTTTACCAGTAATGGACGAACTGTTGCTCTTGTTGACTTTATTGAAAGAAATTTGAAAGCACTGTTTTGCCTCAGACTTCTCTTAACTTGCTTTTGTAACTATTAACTTCTTCATTAGGATATTATTTCTTACCTGGGGTAACTTAACTTGGATCATCTTTTGTTAGAACAGAGAGAAGTGTCTATTAAAGTGCTTGTGAGTAATGAGCAATTTCTCCTATTGCATTTATTTTTCTGCAGCATGGAATACACATACAAACATTTTCTATCTTACCTCCTTCTAACACTCCAAAAGTTCAGGAGCGGGAACAGTTGCATGTCACAGCAATCAGAAAAAAAAACTCATATTCTTTGTCATGACAGACATTTAAAAATGATGACTATTTACTAACTAATCTGTCTAGGAATCCTGTTCCATTATTTGAAAATACTTCCTAATCAATATTCTAAGTAACTCAAACTGATCTCTTTGATCACTTCTGTTTCTTCTACGTGGTTAAGTGACTTTTTGACTCTTCTGTGTTAAATCCCATGTTATTTAAGCAAATGCAAGCTTGTGTCTGTATTTGTTGAAAAGGATACAGAAGTAGCTTTATAAAGATAAGAAACACATTAAACGGCAATTAATTTGGCATTTGACGCTGAAGGCATATCTTGGCCCTCAGTTCATGATTGTGAAGGATGTGATTGTTGTGATGTAGGATGTCCCCATACTGGAGCCCTCTTTTACAACTGAGGATGAATATGCCAAGTTCTGCAGTATGTAGCTATGAAAATAATATACACAACTGATAGAATAATACTCGTTTCAATAATGTCATTAACTGATGAATTACCTTAAGCTCAAACTTGCATAGCAGTAAAGGAAGAAGGATGAATGTTTATTACATCTATTACAGGGTAGGATACACAGATCCCAGCAACTGTAGGAAGGACTATCACCTATGTTAAAAAAAATATAATCAAGTCTGTGCCTTTCATGTGACTTTCCATTCCTCTTAAATATTTGATTTTTTTAGAATAGTACAGTCTTAAACTGAGGTTGAGCTTTGAAAAATATGGCCACTTAAAAAGTGAATTAAGGAGGCCTCTAGATTAGTTCAGTGCTGTTTTCAGGGGTTTGTGGACATTTACCTTGGGCAGAATCTACATTTGTGTAGAACCATTGGGCTAGTTCTTCTCCTAAAATTCAGCATTTGGTTGGCCACGTCATTTGTGTAGCTATGATGCTTAAGAAACTTCATCAAATGTTACTTGGCTGTGAAAATAGATGCTTGGGAGGGTCACTTTACTGTTGTCTATTTATTTGCCTCTGTAAGAAGTTAAATTCAGCAGAACTTGCTAAAGAATGTCCTTTTCATTAAAAGCACCCTGAAGAATCAGTTCTCTCTCCTAAACCAGACGTGACCAAGTCGATTTCACAGAATTCTGATCTACTTTCAACCCGAGAACAGAAGGTACCTAAAGATGAAGGCATGTTCTAGTGCAGCAGTGAATTTGTTTAGCCTATAAAGTAATAACTTGATTAAATCCCGCTTGGATGAGGTGTCATTTCTCATCTTAATACTAACCGGACCTCTTAATTCCAGTTACATTGTGTGAATTCCTCTCTGTTCCAAGTAGGGATGCTGCCCCCTTCTTAAAAAACTGGGTGACCATAGAGAAGAAAAAGAAGGGCAGAGTCAAAAAAGAGTTGGTCAGGAGGTAGGGACAAGTTACCACTCTGAAAGGGGAGGGGGGGTTGACTCTAGTTCTTGCCATGAAGGTAGTTTCTTTCTGCAACTACCTGAATATTATGTTCTAGTTGCCTCCCTAAGATTGGTGTGTTCAATATGTATTCACTCTTCAGAATAGTGTCCAGTTACCACTTGTGCTGGCCTGCATCTAACTGTATCTCTAATCTAGTCTTTTTTTTCCTAGACCCTGCTGGACCTGGAAGATGATTTAGATAATCTGGATCTTGAGGATATTGATACAACAGATATCAATCTGGATGAAGAGATCTTAGATGAGTGAACTCGACTTCTTAAATGACCAAAGTGTGTACTCCAGCTGAATCAAGTTCTGGGGAACCGTACCCTCTTTTTTTTTTTTTCCTCCCCCCCAAAACAGAAGGTGATGATGTAACAGGAAGAGAAAGGGGCAGACCTAACACCTGTTTAAACAGGTGCTGTTTAAACAGCATTTTACTGCAGTAAAATGTTAAAATGTATGATGGAGGCTTACTCCTTTACCTATAACAAACTTTTTCATTTATTAAGAAGCTAATAAATGCTTTTAAAGAGAAGTTTTCCTGTAGTTTTAATGATTTCTAATTTGAGTATATAAGAACACAGAACCTAGATAAAATTATTTAAAAGGAAAAACTGATTAAGAGCACTGAAGCTAGCTCAGTGTTATCATAGAAAATTACTCATAGATGTATTGTATAAGCATCTCCATTAAGCAATACGGCTGCTAATCCCACTTAGCTATATTAACTTCCATCGCTCAGTGCAGTTCCTCTTGGCTAACAGCCTAAACTGTAACACTTCACGGTGCTAGCTCTACCTAAATTCATCTCTCCAAAGTAATCACTTCTTACAAGTAGGTAAGTGAAGCATGGGCAGGTGTTCAGGGTGAAGATATAATCAAAAACAAATTAATCTGAGCCTGTTGTCCCTTGAAAGGAAAAAGACAACTCTATGTTTATTTATAATACTTTTAAAAATCTCTACTTTATTGTGCATGTTTTTCTTCAACACACAAAATGGTCAAAAGTTTTTGAGACTCCTATACAGAGAATGTTTATAAAGGTTTAAGATTTATTTCATGAAGCTGTAGAGGTAGCCATTGCTTCTTGGTAAGCCTGAAGGGCCAGTTGGATGTAGCCTTCTTTCTGGGATTCAGTTTTTGCAAATACCTATAAGCAGGTTATGATAGAGATGAATGTACTATTACGAACACAGAAGCTTGCCCTAGAAAATTACCAGATGCATGGTCTGGCACCAGGCTACACCTGAAATATTGCCATGTGGTGTAGAAAAAGGATACATATCCAACACTGCCACTTGAATATCTGCTTTTTATAAAAAAGCAGTTACAAAACCTCTTAACTACGGTGTTACTGTTTGAGGACTTGACCTTTAAAAGGTCATTAGGCTTTATGTAGAAAAGCCTACCTTGATCAGCTCCACACCTTGGAGATTTCCTTCTTTAGCTTCTTTTGCCGACGGACATTCCGGATGAAGCATATGATAGAGGGTGATTAAGCTTGTAGTATCATCCAGCCTAAGCAAAGAAAGACAGAGTTGTAGCAAATACTCTCTGCAAATACTTCCACTTTGCTTGCACACTACCAGGCTTTCACCTGCAGTGCCATGATGAGAAGGTGTATGTTATAATCCACTGTGATGGCAATGCTCATGGAGCACTGGATGTGCAGCATGCCCGGTACTTTAAGGTATAGGACTGATTATTTTGTGTAACTTGAAGTCACATGAAGGGTTCACCTCAACTGAAGCTGTAATCTGTTTAAAATACAATGAATTGCCCAATGACAACTAACAAAAGAGCTAGGCCAAAAACTGGTTTTCTGACACTGATTAACGCTTAGCATAATGGATAGAACTAGTATCGAAATCTTATGACAGCTATTCTAGTTTAAATGAAGCTTAGAATAAGTGATTTGCTTGCACAAAACTGAACATAAAACAGAAATAGGTGTGTGATTGGGGAAGACCCTTTAAACTTCTCTATCTTAAGTGGCCCAAAACAACAGCAACAACTGTAAAAGGCTTCTTTCCGCACAAAACTAGTTTCATGCTCCTGCAGTTGGTGCTTCCCTTCTGGATCTCTCTCTATAGAATAGATGCTAGCAAGTAATTTCATGCAATTAAAAACTTAAGCATTTTGCAAAAATGCTTCCTTTTAAACAATAGAACTTGTTTTGTAGTACTACTTTAGATAATCGTAACAAATATCTGACAAACCACACTTACAAGTCTCTGTGGAGCATATCTATTAGTAAGCCATCCGTTTTCTTTCTGTTTACCAGATACCACACCATTCCTCCAAAGTGTCTTGTTGAACGGAGCAGATCATACTTAGCATGGTTCTCAATGTCATCATATGTCCTATGATGAACCTATACACACAACGGTTTGTTTCAGTAGCATAACCAGAGCTTGCTGAGAGTTTCTCCCCTCAAATCTTAACTTATTTTAATCCAAATCACTTTCAAAACTCTCTAAACTGTTCAAAACTTAATAAATCTAATTCTGGACAACACTGGTTAACAAGTTCTTGGTAAGAGGAAGCTATATAATAGCTATGTACTGGCACTTTGGGAACGAAGGGAGCATAACCTCTACACCTTTATTCCACTGTCCTCAATTTATAACCTATTCTTTAATAGAAAAGAAAAAATAGAGCCAAGAAGAGAAGTGCTACTTTGAAAGAGCTACTTGAGACCCTGCCCGTTAGCAATTATGCTCACACTCGGTGACACAGAGCAACTTGGATATCAAAACCACCCAGATGCATAAAATAGTATTTATCTGCAATTCCTTTTACACTGTTGACAAGCTGATTTTTACAGGCTTTTTACAGTTTTATTTCTCTGCAGGTTTTTTTAGGAATGCAAAAAGCTCAGGACAATACTTAATCCCTTTGGAGAAAAAAGCCCATCTGAACAGCAACTATGATCCCCAGATAATACTTATGCTTACAAAATAAGGCCTTAGTTCAAACAACACTAGATTTGTTATGAGGAAAAAAGCAAGTGAACTCACTCTAATATAGTCAGGTGAATCTGGCTCAAACTGTGCAATGCACATGTTAAGGAGATCCTCATGACGGTCTTGCTGAAACACAGTCTAAGATGACAGTTAAAATTAAGTAACAGATTCATATCACACCATTCCAGTACACCAAAATCTAGATGGTAGCCAGAATATTTGTTCTTGAAAACAGCATCTGTTTAATTATAATACGAAGTGGCAAAGTAACTGCCTTGGGTAACAGTAACATGGATGTGCTTCTCAAAGGTTTTTCTGTGTGTGTTTGTTTTCACTAGTTTGTGCTTCCAGAGTAAGCATAAAATTTCATCAATGCATAACAACTAAATTGGGTCCATAGTATGATAGTACTATCTGGTTCAGTTTACCTGGAATTTTATTGAAATAACTTAAACGAATAAGCAGCTGTTTAACACAGAATTCAAGTAGCTTAGAATATACAGACGGGTTTATTAAGTGCTAATATTCTGTCCAAACAACACAATTTCGCTACCAGAGCGCAACTAATGCAAATAATCCTTTTTCAGAATGAGGAAAAGCCTTACCACAAGGTGTTCATCCTTGAATAGGACCGGGGGAATGACTCTGCGCCCTTCTTTAGGGAAGAAAATCTGAATCATTCTGTCTCGTTCTTCCCAGGA